ATCCGAGCCGTGCTCCCTGGCATCCTCCAGGGCAGGGTTAAGACCCGCCCAAGCCCCTAAGCTGGACCAAATTTCTAAGCGCCCCCTTCCCTCCCAGCATGGCCAAAAATGTGACTTAGTCCAACAGAAAGGACAATGCAAATAGAAAGAACCAAGTTTTCTATTTGCATCAGTCCCGGTCCATAGGCCAGGATGCAACTAACCGAGCCGTGCTCCCTGGCATCCTCCAGGGCAGGGTTAAGACCCGCCCAAGCCCCTAAGCTGGACCAAATTTCTAAGCGCCCCCTTCCCTCCCAGCATGGCCAAAAATGTGACTTAGTCCAACAGAAAGGACAATGCAAATAGAAAGAACCAAGTTTTCTATTTGCATCAGTCCCGGTCCATAGGCCAGGATGCAACTAAACACTAGCAATGTTACGATTAATTAGTATTATTTTATTTAGAGGCCCCTCCACGCCGCTTCCTTAGCTTGTGCCCAAATCCGGCCGTGGGCCCCTCTCACATCAGGGGAGGGCCTGAGGCGGTTTTGCGTGCGGCTCTTGTACCGGGTCATTCTCATTTCCTGTCTCGGATTTCCCCTGCCTCCTGGGGCAACCAGCCCGGAGCTGGCCAAGCTGAGATGGGGAATTCGGGGCGAGATGTTTTCATCGAGACTCCCAACCCAGCTGAGGGGCTGGCAGCTGTCGCTGGCCGACCCTTCCTTCCATGGCTGGGGCACTTCGATTCAGTCCTATTGCGAAGAGCCCCCTGCTCGGGTCTCTCTGCGTGTAAACCGAGTCAGAGACTCCGGAGTGACTCCGGTCTTTCTCGGACCGGCTTTAAATCCCGATCCACGGCTAGGGGCTTGGCTTTTCGTTAGGAAAGGAAACATCAGAGGAGTTTGGGGATGTCTGAGGACCCACGACGCCGCTTGCCTGCGTTGGAAACGCCGGGCCAGTAAATCCGGTTCTGACCCATTTCACACGCAACCGGAGAACAGAATCCTCAGGAACCGGGCTGACTCCTTGGGGGGTTGTTAAGGCCGCTCTCTCCCGCGGCAGCTCCGGGGTGGACAACGAAAGACAGAGAAGCCCGTGGAAACCAGGCTGCGCCAGTGGCTGGGGGAGAAAGGGGCGCTCCACGGGACGCCCCGGGAGTGAGACAAGCAAGGGACGGGGCCAGGGTTGCGCACGAGAGTTTATTCGCAATGCAGACGTTTGGGGGGAGGGAGGGGTTGCACGACCTGGCGCATAAACACGGGAGAGGGGGAGGGAGACCCCGAGGGAGTGCCAAGAGCCGAGCTGTCGCAAGTGGGACACAGAAGGCAGCAAACAGCCCCCCCCGCCCCCGCGCAAAGGGGTGGGCATGTGAGGCGCGCACAGGTTGCCAGGGGAGGAAGGCCCAGGAGCGAGAGGGGACAGGACATGCGCCCTCACGCCTCCACCGCGAGTCCACTGAGCTCAAGGCAGGGAAAGGTTCCGAGAGCCCCGCTACAGTCCTGCCCAGCCAGACTCCCGGTGCGCCCCGGGGGAGCTGCAGCCTCCAGTGTTTCAAAGCCCTCCCACCCCCCACCGCCGGCCCGCAGCGCAGGAGACCTGGGACACGCCAGGAGCGCTCCCTGCCCTCAGTTACGCCTCCCCCGCCTGCCCCAGGAGCCGGGGCGCTCTG